CATTGACTTGCTCCTCACTCTTCACCATAATCTTTCTTCAAATAATTTCTACAACCCTTAGTTCAAATATGTACCTAAATACAGCTGTAATGCCATAACATGATGGAAAGCACAGAAATAATAGCAAGGTGGCAAAGTCCTAGACTGCAGCAAGTGAGGATAAGCCCAAACACAGCAGCTGAGGATACAGAAACAAAAGAAGAAAAGCTTACCCTTAGAAGGCCCAAGGTACCCAGGGATATCCAAAAGACCCTTGATTCCAAAGCCAGCCCTTAAATGAGCTCTGGGTAGGGGTGGATCCTGGCTCTGCCCCTTTTGGTCACTCAGGTGCATTGCATGCAGCTGAGCTCCCCTGGGTTAACCCTGACTTCCACCAGGTGCTCAGTCACTGTTTTGGGCCATGACTTAGCATTTCCACTACAACAGCTTATTATCCTCTAATTAGACTGCTCTATGTTTTTACTTGAAAATATTATAATAACATTATCATACAATCAAAAAATTAGGCTCTTACATGTTCTACATTAATAAGAATTCTGAAACCTGCGTGGAATTTCATATCTAAACAGACGCAAGCATTAGCTTCAGTTCAGCATTAAAATCTAATGAGCTTTGGTGGAACCTTAGCCATACGAATGAAGTAGATCATAATAACTGACAGATTAGTCAATTATTACTTAGACATACATTTTGAAACTAGTTTCTCATTCTAGGCCAAGGCTTGATGTTTTTAATGGTTTGTGCATTTGACTGCGTGGATTAAGATATTAGCAAAAGTGCTAAGAATAGCTCATAGTTTGTTGCAGCTTGAGAATCAATTCCCTATCCGTTGCTATTTGTTTTCAGTTGAAATGCCCCCATGAATTCCTAGCTCTTCAGTCTGTGCAGCAGGACCATCATGAACCTGCAGTCTTTTCTGGACCGATTTGCTCCAGCTCCATGTGACCCATTGCTGCCCCCACCATGGAATTCACACCCTCCGCCTCCCTTTGAGGCGAGGACAGCCTGACCAAGAGGTTGCACAGTCCCACCTGGGTCATGGACATCCTTCCACCCACCAGCTTACTTCTTTCCATTAGCTGCAGTGAGTTCTCACTCTCCATGCCAAGGAGGTCTGGGCTGCTTCATTCCTCTCCTGTCTCATTTATGATCCCCACTTTCCCCACAGTGACAAGAATGTGTTTGCCCCAGAACGTGTTTTCCTCTCTTTTTCTCTGTTCTTTTCTTGTTTTACTTTATACCTAAAAGGCATCTTATACAGAGCCAACAGGCAAAGGAAATGAAGCTGTAGCTGAATTAGAAACTGTTGTAGGGTACCCAGAAACAGGGTTGAGCTGCAAACATTTGTGAAGGAATCTAAATAATGCTCAATTTAGTAGAAGATTTCAGACATATTTAAACAGAGGAGCATTGTCAAATTAGCAAGAAACATCTCATTGCTTCTTCAGTAGTGAATAAAATTATATGATTGCGTAATATGCATTAGATATACTATATAATGGATAACAGTGATAACATTTCTATACTTGGTTACTTCAATTAATTTTAAAAGGCCTCTGCAATCAGTAATTATAGCTTAGAAATCTCTTGTGGGAATTACCTTCTATTCATGGTTGAGGAAGTTGAAAACGTTTACAAGAAATTAACATTTAAATAATTTTCCTTATTTTAAAATTGGGTGGAAACAAAATTATCCTTTAAATTGATGACTGAGAAATGAGTGGAAAAACACTACAAAACAAAAAGTCTGTGCATCTAAGAATATTTATTTTAACCATAAACTAATATTTGGATGATAAGCATAAAGAAGTCTAATAAAATGCTTGATGGCTGTATGCATATTATTAGATATATAAGCAAGTGATTAACTAGATAATTTTACATTAGAATATATGATAGCAGTGTAGCACATGGCATATAACCAATTCATTCAAAAAGATTCAAACTGCTTGTACCGCATTGTCCCAAGATGAAATCAAAATTCTGTCTTCTCCTAAGAAAACTACGGTAGAAAATCATTGCAGGGACAATCTTGGACAGAGCAGTAACTACACTGTGGCATAAAATCAGCACAATTGTATTACCTTGTCTTCCTGCACGGCAGCTTGATGTGCTTACACTGAAATCTCCATCTCTTAGCTGTTTCTTAAAACACATTGTTTGTGTCTTCACAGTCTTATTCTAATTTTAGCAATTCGGAGGCATTTGGATTTTTAAAACAGCCCTTGTAGAATTGTATTACTGTATTTTTGTCTTCTTTTAAAAATCAAATCAATAGGAAAATAAATATATAGCTTTGTTTAACAATATATGCAATGTGATTCAAATGCAATAGAATCTTTTTTTACCAATTTCTTTGTGTGTGTGTTTTGTGTGTGTTGGTTTTTTTTGTTTGTTTGTTTTTTCCCCTATTGGATGGCTATAGTCTTTGATTTTAAAAAAGAAAAATTGCTATGGTGTTTGTTCTTACTGTTTTAGTAAGGACATAATATGATGAACATATCATGCAGGATGATAATGAAAACACACCATCAGCCCAGAGTCACAGTAGCATAGCTGAGATAGGAAGCAAAAATGAAAAACTATACAGATGGCTGGAGGAAGGGCATAGCTCTGTAAACTTGCTCCTCAAGTGAGAGATGTGATTTCAAGATAATCATTAAAACCATTAGCATTGTGGTAGTGCACGCATGCATGAGCAGTGATTATCCTGTACAGACAGTGGAAATGTTCTAAGAGAAAAATACTGTTTTTTCATACACACATACTTTTCTACAAGATTTTGAAAACATTTTAAAGTATTTTAGTTAGATCTCTGTTTATTTTCAAATAACGTTGTACCATCATTTTCTGTCTTCCGTTTGTGTGAGTCAGATTTAGTACTCTGCTCAATATCAGCCTGAAAATTTATTTTCCAAGAGAGTGGTCAGGAGCTGGAACGGGCTGCCCAGGGAGGTGTTGGAGTCACCATCCCTGAGGTGTTCAAGAAACATTTAGATGTTGTACTGAGGGACATGGTTTGGTGGGAAATACTGGTGATAGGTGGACAGTTGGACTGGATGATCTTGCAATTCTTTTCTAACCTTGATGATTCTATGATTTTGTGAAAGCATTAGGGACAACTGGACTCTGCAGAAAGAGTGTTTTACAGGACACAGCAGTGCAAGGTCCCACATGCTGTTCTGCAGTATAATTTGGTACTTAACAGGAAAGGCCACTTCTCAAAGTAAAATATAGCTCAATTTTCATGCTAGTTTGCTTCTTTAGGCTGCTGACAACTTTACTGGTTAGCAGAAACATCAGCAGTTATTTAAGAAAGAGTTGCCTGGAGGCTCAAATTCCTTCACCTTGCACAAAATTTAACAGCAGCAGTTATGCCTGCCCAGACTGTGACCAGATGAGACTCCTGACAGTGTTTTAGATGCAGAGGTACTTATTGAAGTGGAAGGATGAGGAGTGCAGTTGTAAAGTGTTACACACACTCACGTCTTGGATATTCATTTCAGGTTGCTTTTCAACTACCTATTATTAACAGCTGTCAGGGTCAGGAATTGTGCTTCTTTTTGAAGGATAAACTACTGATAGAAACTAATTCTTTTCTGAGCAAGCCTTTTTTTGTTTACATACATAAGCCTGGTCTCAGTAAATGCTTTTTCCAGCCAGTCTCTATATCCTTCGGGATAAACTGTATCACATGTAGTACGAGTAATAGTGGTCATGTAGACCCAATTACCTGACATACAAGATAACTAACTGTAGATGCATAAGGGCCACCAATATGCAGATTGATGTTACAATCACCTTTTACTGCAACAAGAATTTATTCAAGATGAAAATAATCATGTGCTTTTCTTCCTAGCTGTTATCTTCAGACTCATCTAGAAGAACAGATGTAGTGGCTATAGCAGAGAGCAAGCTACCCATTAAACTTCTTCTAAACATAAAATTCCCATCCCTGTTTATGCTGAAGCTGATTGGTGTTGTTATGAAGCACCAAGACAAGCTTCTGCTTCACAATCAGTCTGGCCTGGAGGCAGACTTACATCACTGTTATTTCTGCTTGTTAACCGGCCTCTGCCCCTTACTGGCCCAGAACCACTGCACACTGCCACAGACGTGCAACTAAAGAACAAGTGCACGCTGCATGGTATGAACAGGCCAGATAACACTTAGCATTCCTGAATATTAAGGAAGATCTGCTGTGATACCTCTGGGTCTCTTCTCTTATGATTATAGACTTACCAACTGAGCAGATAAAATTTGACAGTCATGATTTCTCCCTCTGGTCCCATGACAGCCCATGCTACTGGTCCGCATGCTCAAGCTCCCTCAGAACCTGGAAGACACAAACTTTCCTGTTTTCCCTGAAGGTATTCATTTTGTTGACACTGTTGTTTTTTCCTCTTGCCTGCTTTGTCTCTTTTAGATCCTGTGTGTTCCAGGAACTTGTGAATATTATTCTGCTTCAGGCTATACTTCTGGTAAAAGTCATATGCCCTTAACTCAAAGAATTTATTTTGTTGCTCTTGTATAATATGATTTACTTCACCCTTGCGTAGGAGAAGGAATAGATGCAGACGCTAAAATAGCCACAAGTGTTTTGATTATAGGAATCCTCTAGTCATAACTAGAGAAAGGATTCATTCAGTTCTGCCCTTGATGTGTGGCACAAGCTTTATTTCCTTACATAAGTACAGCAGGCAGAAATGAGCTAAAATGCTGGGAAATAATGAAATGCGTGACCCAGAAAAAAGAAAGAACAGTAAAATAATACATAACATTTGTGCACTACAGTTACAGAAATAAGGAATGGCAAAAATGTTAAGCTAGCAAAACTTCAAGAGTTTCATTTCCATTATAGATCTGAAGAACTAATTCTGATATATATATATTTTACATATGGAATTTTATTCAGTTTTTGCTATATGGATTATCCTAAGGCCTCTAGCTGGCTGAGTAATCTTTGCTTGTTGAAGAGCGAAGGACAATCCATTATGAAGTCAGTAACCATCTTATTGCCTTGAGGAATTTCAAAAAATGAGTCCTTAAATGGCTTTGTATCAAATTAACTTTTACATACATTATGTATATTATTCACTACAGTGCTGTTAAGCCCATGCTGAAGGCTACAACCAGTACTTAATCAAGGGAAGCTTTCACAGGGAATAATGAAATACAGTTTGCAGAGATGGCCATCAGTTACATGGTGCAGCCCTTTTTTGATTGGAACCCATTCTTCCGTCTTTTTATGTTTGTATTATGTTACCAACAAGATTTATTTCCTTTTGTCTTCCATGTGTTCAGAGTTTGGGATTATTTCTTTTGTTGGTTCTGGGACACAAAGTCTGTGAATTTCATTCTTTTATCTCTAGAATTAGATTTCTTTGGAGGAAAAATCCTGGAAGAGAAATGAAAAGACTTCTATGAAAACTTAATTACTTTCCAAAAACACCATAAGAAACATTTAGAATTGAGGTCATAAGTTCTCTAATTCCTAAAATTGCTGCCAGAAAAAATAGCAGTAAGAATGAAAATCTTAGCTAGAACAATTATTTTCTAATATGATCATACATACATACACAAGTTAGGCAGAGTAGATGTAATATAGATGTAATATTTTTAAAGGAAATATCTACTCCCTAAGTCAGACTTAAAATAAGGAGAACACCCATTTTAATTATAAAAAGTTGCAGGTTTTTTTTGGATGTTATAGTAACAAAGAAAATGATCCAAGTATAAATGAAGTGACATCAGATTTTTCTGATTTATACTAACTAAAAAAAAGAGAAATGAACAGCCCCTCTATCTTCCTATAAGAATGTTAGCAAGATCAATATTGAAACAGTTCAAGACAGCTTTTACGATACTTGAACTTGTAGATGCACTTTCACAATTAGTGATAATTACTACATCTAAAATGAGAGTTATAAAGAGACTACAGTAAAGGTATACTGATTTCTTGCAAGTATTTATCATCATTTATTCCCTTTTCTAATTTGAAGCTTTGTTATTAATAGCTTAGTGGGGTCCTAAACAAATTTCACTGTAGGTGGGCTGAGTACTGTTGCCCACTCTATCAGGATTTTGCGCTTGATCCAGGAGCCATCATGAAGATAAAATCTTTGCAAGAAAAGTTTTCGTTCCTAGAACCATCCTAAATTAGACACTATTCTTTGAAGTCAGAAATTTCTACTGATAAGACGGGGGAGAATGAGCTCCTGTTGCTTTTGGTGTTTGTGTGGCATCATAGCAAGCTGTTTCGATGGGGACTATATCTCTGCCAAAATGATAATGTGATATGTAGCACTTCTTCAACTGCACTGCATGTAACAGAGTACTACTTGTGCTACTAAGCTCTTTGTGCAAACCATGATAACTAAGGCAAGCATGAAGGCAAGAACTGCCCTTGTCATATTTATCATGCTGGCCCTCAGATGCTGTTGAAGATGTTAACACTCAAAATTCATTTACATAACACATTTGCCAAACTGAAAACAAAAAGTTCTTTTATTCTCCATAAGCCTAGGGCCATATTGTTGCCCAGAAGGAAAATATATTTTGGTTTGTCAAAAGCTGAACAAGAAGGGTAGATGCAAGTGATCGTGCCTGAACAAAATCTTTTATTATAATTTTATATGCCAAAAATTCTATTTGTAGGTTGGAACTTGAGTCTTCTTGCATACTGAAAACTTTATCAAGGACACATGCAGTACTGTACATGCATGATTTCACTGTCAGTATAAGTATTAAGGATGTTTCAAGTTGTAAGAAGGAAAAATTCATTGCATCATTTTCTTCATTTCACTCAGCAAAACTTCTACAGCACATCTGTTTGCAAGTTTTGTTTTACTTCTGACTGTACTGTGGGCTTTGGAGGGATTGCCAGTATATTATTATTCTGTCAGAAGAAAGCTTCACCTTGGATTACAGATAGATTAGATGGACTGTATCTAACACTGGATATTTATTAAGATGACCACTTCCATCACTTAACTATGGTGATAATGATCATGAAGGAACTTGAAATTGAATGAAAAGCATTAAAGCTAAGAGGAAAAATATGTAATTATCTCACATAAAAAAGGAAAAGCAGTTAAGTCTAATTAATGTAGAAATTCCCCACAGGACCTTTTAATTACCTAAGAAAAAGCAATATGAGTATTAAAATATTTTAAAAGTTAGGTCTAAATGTAATTGCATAAGATTCACAGTTCAGATTTCTACCCAAACTCTGTAGTAATTTTTGTTCGTTCAACTTAATAACATCTGAAACATTAGTTTTGCTTCAAATGTTGAAACTGTCTCTATTTTTTTCAGAGAAGGAAATGTGAGCTACACTAAGACAACATTTACATGGATGTTGTGCTGCTATAGACAGTGAAGAGTTTTAAACACCTATTGAGCTGAAAATATAGCAGATAAAGGTTTATTTTTCAATTGCAACTGCACTTCAAGTAGTACAGCTAGCTGAGCACTTAACTGCTGTCCAATGTTAATACAACATTCCTCTACTGTATTAAAGAACCCCAATACATATTGTTTTTTTTTTTAAATACATAAATTTGTCATGTCTTACGAGTTCTCTTCAGAAGGCACCGATCTTGATCTTCTCTGAGCATCTGTAAGGCTTTCAGTGGAACTGCCTTTGTACTTTGATGTATGATGCCACATTTTGAAAAGTATAAGAAACAAAGCTTTGTTTAGAGCCCTCAGCAGTACTCTTATGACACCTCTTGCACACAAATAACACTTCTTTACTTCCATTCTTTTTGGGAATCTGTCCAGGAAAGAACAGAGCTGTTGTGCAGTAATTTCACTTGATGTTAGTCCTGTACTTTGTTGACTGAAAAGACAATTAGCTCTGGACAGTTTCTTTATCAAAGTGATTACATTATCTTTATTCTACAAAATCATACTATAGCCTACACAATAGCTGTTCTTAACAGTTTAAGATGTTAGAATGCAAGTTGCTGATAAGGTTGAAATACAATAAAAACTAGATAAAAAAAAGAAAAGGTAGATGAGGGATTGAGAAGTGTCGGGAAAAGAGTAAATATAGTAGAAAGTATAACTACAAATCCATAGGAATTAAAATGTTAACTTCAGTGTTAAACTACCACACTTGAAATAAGGTGTTTTTTTTTTTTTTTTTTTATGTTTACAGTCATATCCCTGGTCTGTGCGAGCAAGACTTACCATTCTCTTCTTTTTCACATTCTCTTTTTGTCTTTTATTTGCCACCTCAGCTTTCTGTCCTCCAGGAACCGTTGTCTCTATGTATCATCCTTTTCATTTGGAGTCACTACAGAATTCCAAACCATAGTAAATAGGTCAGAAACACAACCTAAATAAAAAGGGGAAACACTTCCGGAAAAGTTGATGGGTTTTGCGTGTTTTTCTTTTCTTTTTTAGCATTGTGAAGCTAATTCAAAAGAAAAAGGGCTAGACAAGTCAAGAAGAAAAGACATTGCAATTTTTATGGATGTTTTTGTTCTGTTATTTTAAATGAGCATTTAAAGAAACAAGTTTTTTTTGTTTTTGCTCTATTTTCAAATAGTAAGAATATTATTAAATTCAGTATAGCAACTTGATGATTATTATTCTGAAACATGTTACCTCATTGTGCTAAAGGCCCAAGACAATTTCATCTGGATATTTCTATTTCAGGTGTAAACTGAGGCTACTGTTTGTATTGCATTCTGGAGGAAAAGGAACACTACACATTGATGCAAATCTGGAATGTTAGGTTACATGATAAAAGTCATTTTGCCATCCACAGAGGAATACAGAGGGACAATGGTGGGTGGGGAGGGCAAGTAATTCCTGCACCAGCACCTTGCAAGCCCTCTCCAAAAGCCATCAGCCAACCAGAAACTCATCTTCACAAACCACGGTGAGCATAGGGTAAAATGGAAATCAGAATAAAGGATTCATAGGAAAGGATGCCCTGCCTGGCTTCCTCTGAGCACTGTCTCAGGAGAGCATCAGCACAAGTGTTCAGGTTGTTTGGAGAGGAACAAGTGGGGAATAATGGGGTAAGGGAATAGAAAGGGCTGGCCATGCACTGGTCAGTGCAAAGATCAACCTAATGACTAGGTGAAATGGCCTGGAAGCAAGGGTGGATGGGAATCGCCTCTAAGGGACAGCTCTGGGTGTCAGAGTTGCAGGTGAACAACTGAAGTACTACTTCCTATATTCACACTGATATCAATATGATCTCATGATTGTTCCTCTTGCAACTTATTGGTTAAAAAATAAAAAGTCATCTAAATGCTAGAACACAAGACACTACGTTGCTCAAAACTCATACTAATAAAAACCAACGAAACTTAAGTAATTATGAGACTTGAATCATATTATTGTTACAGAGAAACACTGCAGAAACTCATTTCCCACACAGAATGAAGTTACAGGAACTTAGTTAATTTTTAAATAGCTTTTTTCCTCCAACTCTAGGCACATCTAGGAGAAATATGCCAGAACTCTTTTTTTTGCTGCTACCTGACTTGTCTAACTCTGTTCTGTCACTTGTATCCCACACACATCAGGAAATGACAGATTTTTTTCACAGCATACACAGGCCAAGAAAAACAACAACCACTAAAACAAGGAAAAGATCCACACGATCATTCCAATAGTAGTATCTAAAATATTCCCTTCCTCTCATGAAATCATTTTGCTTGGAAACAACATGAACTCAGGTATAATGTGAAAATTTTTCAGAAGTATGGTCCTGCTATACCTCCGAATAGAATGGTCATTGACTATTTTGTAGAATATTCAATATAAAATGCATCAAATCTGACCATCCTCTGTATTTTTCTTCCCATTCTATAATCACTCATAAAGATCTGTCTGGTTATGTAATGCCTTGTAAAATGTGATGGGTTACTTAGTATTTTTAAAAAGAAACTGCATGGAGAAAACAACAACTCTGGTTTGAATTGAAAAGAAGAAATCAACAAAAAGCTACTTCACCCAGAAAATTTTGAAACAACACATTTTAGTGCTACAAATATGAATATACACTATACTGTTCAGTTCTACCTAATGTTCATAATAGAGAGACACAGTAAATATACACAACTCTTAAAGACACTCAATTCCCTCTTTTTCTTCTCTTCTTTTTCCCCATAAAAATAAGCAGTATTGCCTTGAGAAAACAAGTTATTAATTATTAGGACAGCTTACAGTAAAGAGAAGTAGACCTTATCTTAGTGAGTAATGACTGCATATTTCATTATTAAAGGCTATTAAACACATCAGTGTCTCTTTCACAAATGTAACATTTCCTATGGAATTTGGAGAAAGAATGAAAAATCCTTACCAAGTTTTCTTTCCCACCACTCTCTTGTACCCATCTACACTTTCTGGAGTGTGGAATGTCCAAGTATTTTTTCAGCATATACTTGAATAAATGGTAGCCTCTGAAATTACCAAGGGCACTGGTCATTTTCTCTGCATCTTGTACTGGGGTAAGGACAGTGAAAAGAAAAGAAGGGTTCAATCATGTAAACACTTGTCTTCACGGCTGGTACCAATGACAAAACATTGGTAATTTTGACAATGAAAAGGCCTACACTGCACTGGGCTTGTCAGCACCAGATGGGTTTCACTTTTCTCTAAGTGCTAAGAGAGTCCATGGGGAAAAACTGGCAGTGCTCATTGGCAGGACTTTAAACTGGGTTTGAAGGGGAAGGGAGGTAACAGAGAACCTGCCCATGATAAGCTGTGGGATGGCATACCTAGGTTACAGGGACAGGGTGCTAGCAGGGTCTTCAACCTGGTATCCTGAGATGTGTTGGCACACTGCAGCACACTTGAAATCTTATGACAATAAGCCAGCTCTTCAGAGAGTTAGGCAACAAAATGCCCTGGGAATCTGCTCTCAAGGACAGGGGAGAGGAGTAGAACTGACAGATCTTTAAGAAGGATCTTAGGGCATAAGAGCTCTCCATTCCCAGATGTAAGAAGTTGGGAAAGGAAGGCAAGAGCCCATCATGGCTGAACCAGGACCTGCTGGTTAAACTGGAGGGCAAGAAGAAATCGCACAGGCAATGGAAGACATTCAGGATCAGGCTGAATGGGGCCCTGATCTATTTGTAGCTGTCCCTTTTCATGGACTAGATGAACTTCAAAGGTCCCTTCCAACCCAAATGATTCTATGACACTATGAAACCTATTTTTCTTATGTTTCCCTATAAAAAAAATGAAAATTTATCTTTGATTACTTTATGTAATCTACTATAGTATAACTTGTCTTCATATCTTGAGGTTTTCTACTAGGTTTGGTTGAACAAAATACTGCAAATCTGAAACTATTAATGAAAGTAGATATCTATTTGAAAACTATATGTTTTAGTGATAGATGGATTATAACCATTGAAACAAAAGCATCATGTCACATCATCAGAATCAGTCCTAAACTATAGGAAGTTCTCCTTTGATCTTTTGTAGATAAAAAAGAAGAATCCTGTGCATTTTTTTTTCCTGGTAATGATTCCTTAACCACTCTGACAGTGTTTTATTTTGTAATAGTTTGCCATGTTCCTAGCAGAAGTGCAGTGCATGAGAGAATGATATTTGAGTAAAATACTTGCTTTATATTCTTTAAGTATTTCTTATATAAGGATTTCAACTGTGAAAGATTTTTTTCTTCCAAAAGATGTGATCTTGTGTTAAACATGCTAAGCTATGTAAAAATAATTCTGGGTAGATGATCATTTGCACTACAAATATTATACAAAAACCTATCACAAATGTACCCTATTTCTTATTAAGTAAAAATGTACCTGCCATTGATAGGCATCTAATAGGATACACAGAATATTCTGAGCTAGAAATGTAAAAATCCCAAGATGATGGAATTCACCTCTCTGGAACTGTAGCACGTGCTATATTACATTTGAGTCAACAAATTGGTATTTCTAAAAAATAAATGAAGCTATGATTCCTAACGTGTATCAACAAGCTTCAAAATAGATTTTCATGCATGCTTGGTTTTTTTTTTTTGTTTTGAAATCTGATTGATTTCAAATGTTAACTAGAAGCAGGATATTAAAAAAAGGTATGGCAAAGATGATTTTCAGCAATACTGAGTATGTTTGTGTGCAATTAATATACACAGCACAACTGGCTGATCCCTCTCTGCAATTACTTGATTCTGATACAAGCAACATTAGATGTATGACAGTAATAGCCAGGAATTCTGAATGTTTATTTGCATGTATCTGTAACAAGTTAATCTGTCTGAATTTTTCCTTAGTATTTCAGAAGTAATTTGCGGGGGCTTTTTTGAGTGTCCTTCCTATCAAACTGGTTGCCAGTGTTACTTCATACAGTTATCTAAAGAAATAATGGAAGTCTTCCAAAACCGATGAAACCAATTTTTAATTGTTATTTCTTTAAATATTGGAACAGCTACCATTTCAGATCCAATACATTTAATACTAAGCTGCCCAGGAGGAGGGATTCTCTCTCATTATGTGTTAATAAGATCCTATTTAGGGACTAGGAGAATGCGTACACTAACACCATTTTTATTTCATGTAACATCAGGGAGAATTTCCTGTTCCAAATGTTGCTAGACATTACCTCAGGAAACAAAGGGGGCACAGGAAATGAAAATTTCAGGAGAAAACATGGCATCCCCATTCAAAGGAGGAGGAAGAAATGTTTGCTTTGGTAACAGTGGTAGGTAAAAGGCACCTAGGGTTTGATCTGGCACATTGATGTGCAACTCAGATTTCAACAAACAAAACAAATTGCTATGAAGCAGTCACCCTTATACAGTGAATTGGTTGCTTGCTGCACTGTGACTTCCATGCAAAAATCATGCCTACCACTGAAAAATGCCTCTATGACAATACATCCCCACCAACAGTAGAGTTTTTAAGTAAAGGCTTAGTCCAGTGACATGACAACCATGACAGAATAAACAGCGCTTTTAACTAAGAGAGTTCAATCAGTAGCAAACGCATTTCCTGGAAATATAACTTCACGTAAATTGGAGAAGCTTTCCTGGCAGAACAATTACTGCTGTACACAACAATCAGGCACTTACCTGACTTATTTTTCAAAAGTGCTGAACATTTAACACATTCATTGTAACTGCTAAATTAAGTACCTGCAACTGGATTTAGGAGCATCATTAGCTTTTATTTTCTGTGCCTTACCGCTACTGCACTCATGGACTTTGTTAAGACTTGTGCAAACAGAACCATCCAAATGTATCAGTGAATGACCACTATGTTACACTTGTACAGCAAAAGGTGATAACAATGCCTTCTACAGGGATAAAAGCACTATGGAGCAATGGAAGATGACAAGGAAGAAAGTTAGTTCATCCTTTCCCATAACTGGTGATATCTTGTCATGGTTTTGTGATTTTTGGTTTTCAGTATTCCACATCATAACATCATGTGGGGCACTAGGAGTTTAACTACTAATGCTCAAGTTCTGGGTACCTGCCTGGAAGAGAAGAAGAACTACATTCCCCAGGGGACTTTGCGGTCACACAGATGAGATATAACTCCTGGCAGGGTCACCTGATGTGCTCTTCTTTGCCTGCTCTTCTTCATCAGCTCTCCTCCCGTCTCCCTGCTGCTCAACTGGACTGCGCATCTCACCTCAGCACTGTGGTGAGGCCTATCCACCTTTTGGACATTCTCTCTCATTATATTTGATTTATTAACTTCAATTCTAATTATACTGTATTATGGTCTGTTATCTTGCATTCTGATACTATATTTAGTAAATTTGTTTGTTTCTCCTCAGATCGTTGCCACTGTTTTTTTAATTATTTTGGGGTCCTCTGTTCCCTTTTTTCCAGAGGTGCGGATTTTGCGAAATCCCTCTGCCCCACTAGTCATGGAACTGGGCCGAACCAGCCCATAAGCCACTGACATAGCTCAAGAAGAATATAACCTCCATCAAAAAAATACACTGCTCCCTCAGCTGCTAACCCTTAAATGAGGATGACGATTGGGTGGACACAGGTTCTACCTCTTCCACTCACTCAGATGCATTGCTTGCACCTCAGCTCCCTAGATTAGCCACACTTCTCAACTGGTGTTCAAACATTGGTTCAGGCATTGACCTGGCAATTCCACTGCCACACTGTAGGATATATATTTGATTAAACTGATTATCAGAGAAAATTTGAGGTTTAATTACCTTGAAAAATAAGATTCCTTGTTTATTTTAAATAGCTGCTTTTTGTCATTGCAGCCTGAATATCCTAGCTTCATGCAGTTAATATATCCATAGCTCTACATAGTTATGTTATCAGAAAAATAAACATAATTCTTTCTTACTGTATCCCACAAAATTATTATAAGGTTGTTACAGCTGGAAAGATTATTGCAGTGGAAATGGGAAAAGAAACAAACAGAAGGAATGCTCACCTACTTCCAAAGATCTTCCAAAGATCTAGGTTTGCAGGAAAGACTACACAGAGGAGGGATCTCTAGAAAGAGAACCTTTCCTAGTGGCAGTCAGCCCTTAAATGGGGTCTGGGGGAGGTGCAGCCAGGCTCCACCCCTTCCAGTCACACAGAATTGCCCCCACCTGTGCTCCCAGGGCTGACTCAGTTCTTTTCTCAGATGATCAATCAGTGGTTCAAGCCATGACTCAACAGTTCCTATGCAGAGGTCAAGTTGAGAAATCCTCATATGAAGTTTTGAAACTCTTAAAAAATATTTCTAAATATTAAAAATTATTTGTATGATAAAGCCACTCTGTCATGATCTAGACCCAAAGATTGGCTGAGAAATGCCCATACAACCTCTCCATGGTGTAAAACAATGAAAAAGGGCAAAATATGCTTAAGCAAAAACTTTCTGAAGGCATGTCAGTAACCATACTTGATTAGATATGATTTACTGGCTAAGTCTTTTAACTTTTTCTCTATAAATTGGCATATGTTTTTGAACATAACACAGCCTTGTTATGAGAGATAAATCCAAGGCAAAGCATATGTAATCAACAGGAACATACTATCTTATTTATTAACAGAAAAGATGGAGTATGCATTAAAGATGGTTATCGTACATGTATCATCTGTGTAACAACTGTTCATTTCCTACCTCCCCCGGTTCTAAAGTAGTGCCTAACTTATCTATGACAGTGACAGCAGTAATTCTTATATAATGGAACCTGCTTGACAGATAAAAATATTCGGGAAAAATTCGGATCTTAATTTTGTCAGTAAGAAATATTTTCTGAACCCATCTTAAAGAATAAAATTATAATTCCTGCAATTAGATAAAACATAAAGAACCTCTGTAATTAGTCACTTGAAATATTATTTTTGTATGTGTTTAAAACCCATACGTTCTCCTTCTTGCAAGATCCATAGCTTTGTGAGAACTTTGCTATGTGGATGGATTCAACCAAAGTTTTGCAGGGCTTTCAGATACTACTGTTACCTGTTTCCCTAGGTACACAGCTCAAGATCTTGAAAACATGGCCTTTTCATAGAATCATAGAATCTCCAAGGTTGGAAAAGACCCACAGGATCACCCAGTTCAACCATCCCCCGATCACCAATAGCTCTCACTAAACCATGTCCCTCAACACAATTTCCAAATATTCCTTGAACACCTCCAGGGTTGGTGACTCCACCACCTCCCTCGACAGCCCATTCCAGCACCTGACTACTCATTCAGAGAAGCAGTATTTCCTAATATCCAGCCTGAAGTCCTACATTTTCAAAAGGACAGACAACAATAAATCCATAGTTTGGAGTAACCAATGTAATAGAATTTATCCAGAGCTTCTGGTTACAGGCATAGGTTTTAATTATATGTACAATATGAAATGTATCAATTTCAGAAGATTTTTCTTCTCTAGGAGGCTGACTGTGCATTCGATGTGTCCTTTCTTTTGGCTTCCTTGTTGCTCCATGGTCTTATGACTTTATTAGCAGTATCAATTGGAACATTTGCTGCACCCCACCAGGACTGTTTTTTCTCCAACAGGAAACTGAGGACACAAAATCACAGAATGGCTTGGGTTGGAAGGGACACGCCAGCCGCTAGACATGCCCTGCAATAAAGCACAGCGAGGCACAAAGCCTCATTATTCTGTGTTGGAGTACTGCATATGGAAGGAAACAACCATCAAATTTGCTCATCCTTATTGTGGGCTGGGAGGTATCTTAGAACCACAACTGTGTATTCTTCTGGAGAGAAAAAATGGATTCACTCCTAAAGAGATCCTGTGGCTGGACATACGCATATAAAGAAGCAGACATGGTAGCACAGACATATGACTTGAGAGAACTAACATCTCTGATCTCAGGAGGGATGTGCCTGGGAGACCATAGAATATCCCAGTCTCAAACACCATCTAGGAGAATTCAAGAGATATCTTAGGGATTACTAGGCACCTGGCCACCCAGAGGAAAAAAATGAGAATGCAGAATGTGGGAATCTTGGCTAGGAGAAGGCTTTCCACACTTTTCCCATTGCCAAAATCAAAACTTGATATGTATGTCTCCCTGTAGAATCTCATAGCCCTGTTTCCTTAGAATTCAAGGAAGTAACCACACAGCATAGGACATATACCTGTAATTTAATGAATTTTTCAAACTTGCATCATTTTCATTGCTGGTTTTTATGTTTTTGTTGTTGTTTCCTTCTTTCCTTCAGAACTGATGAATAGTGTTTTCTGGTGGAATGGTCTTTTTCCTAAGAAATATCATTTACATAGTAGAGAACACTTTGTGGCAGCATTCATATCACTAAGTCATCAATATGAATGGCCTAGAGTTGGAACTAGGATGACAGAACTATAGTAAACTAGCAGTGCATCTCAGCTGGAACTTCCTACCTCAACAAATGCCTTGAAAATGAAACTTCCTATTGAAATCTGAAAGTTCAGCAAAAAAATTCAAAGAGGAATAGACTGAAGATAAATTGGGCATAAAATGTAAAATAAATTGAACTGTAATATGTCCAACACAAACATGGGAGCAAAGGGAAAGGATAAATCAGAAAGTGTCTATTACATCCTTGTTTATTTCTGAAGTAGCCCAACTTTGCTAGCTGGTATTTCCACTTAATACATTTTCCACTATAATCATTTGTTTGCTTTGCAAGGAGTGCAGGTGATGCAGCTGAGTCCTTTTGAACAAAACTGTTTTTGGATTTTAGACATTGAAGGTGTGTTCAAATGCAAAAAAAAAAAAAAAAGAAAGAAAGAAAAAAAAAAAAGTTCTCTTAAATACCAGAGGTGAAACTTGAAACTTGAATTTTCACATTAGAACTGCAGACTATATGATATTTGCACTTTGAAGTTCTGAACATCTAAAATAGGATGAAAAATAATACCTCTGATTGGAATAATACCGGGATTTTTTCCTGTCTCAATTTTCTCGTTTATTAGCTTTGCAGCTTCCACTGATTTCTTATTTCTCAAAAGGTATCTAGAACATAAAACAGAAGGGCTTAGTACAGATATCAAGGAAACACAGAAGGGAGAAAACACAATCAACGTATTTAGTATAAATATGCTTTCTTTCTGCTACTTAAAGCAAAACATTCATTTTAATAGCAATGAATAAACTGATTACACTGAGCAAAGTCCTCACATTCATAATAGTATCCATCTAGCTACCAAAATGTGTCTGGTTTATGTGACAATTGAAATGAAAGACCACATTAAAATAAACTCCCTTTTTGTTGCTCAGATATAGGGATTCCTACAGCAGGATGCTGGGAAGCTACCCTCACAAAGATGGCAAATTCCCTCAAATATACATCAGAGTAACCTAAACATCCAGGGCCTTATTCAAAGTGAAAGTCTCATCAATATCATTTGAATACATCAGCATCTGTGCTTAGCTCAAGGTCATGTATGATTCATTGCAGCCCAGCATTCCCTGTTCAGCTATTTGCTCTTCACAGCTTGGAGTTTCCAAAAGATGATGCAAACATTTTTGCTACCTACTTCCGAAGGTGGCATGTACCATGAGATTTAGCGAACAACAAAGGCAGCAGTTTCAGCTATCAAGCAATTTCCCTTAACCAAAACAGCTGAGAGTCTTCCTATCTAACCGAAGGCCCAACTAATCCTGTAATACCTGGAAGACTGCAGATATAGAGCTTTATTGGAGACAGCTGATCACCACTTCAGACACTCTGGTAGTAAGCAAGATCACCAAGTTCAGCTAAATAGTGTGTTGTGTAGCACATCACTGAAAGGATACAGAACTGCACCCAGGGCAGGATCAGGCACGGGATAGGACTGAAGATGATAACACATTAAAAGGAGCAAAAACATTGCCCATCAGTGTCCCTGGATACCTCAGAAATGACCTGGATGTTTCAACATTCCATAGGCACTTTGTAAATCCAATCAAGATACAGATAGGAAAGACTAAGACTATTTTCTAGAGCAGAGGAACATATTGCCCATCTGGTCAGTCAGCACACTTAAGGATTGCATCTCTGGGAGAGAGCTGGTATCCTCTTTGCACAATGGAATAAGTTTAAGCATTTTTTCATGAACATAGAAATGAGCAAAAGTAGGTAACAGCATTCAATTTCCTTCTAGTCCTGTAGTAAAACAGTCACATTATCATTCGTGGCCCATGTTATGAACAGGTACATATAGATGTCTATCTTTCACTCTTTATCCATACACTTGGCTGCCTCTTGTTAATCTCGGTGTATATTTCTGGAACACAGGTGTGTTTGTTGCTCTAAATCACTGACAGTAGTGCCGACATGCCTATGGTTCTCCCTTCTTCAGATTATTTGCTGAAAATGCTCAAAGAAGTATGCACATGGGGCTGCTAGATTGGATAAAGGAACTAAGACTAGATTTCAATAGTGATGACCCTGGAGCCACCTGCAGTGAAAAGTATAGCGCTTGGATTTTTCCTGCTGCTGGGTTTGGTAATGAACAAATGGTACTTGTAGTAAGCAGAGAACACAACTGGGTTTTTTTAAAGCGTATATTTTATTCTCACACCAATAAGAATGTGCTGTGACAGGATTTTTTTATCACCTTATTTATTTTACATGTAAAAGACCCAAAGTTACAATTTAAGGCAAGAGTCCTGCTGCATTACACAACTAGCTCTCTGGGAAGCAGAGTTGCAGTGTAGTTGTCACCAGGAATAATCACCAATCTTAGACAACATCTGTGTTAAATTCTGTATTTAAATTCTGTGCATGGCTGTGGCAAGGACCTGCAGCAAGCATAATTTACAAGCAGAGACTGCACAGCTGCTATTTCTGTCCCTCTCTTTTACTTCTGGAACCCCAAGTCTAGCAGGATCTATTAAGCAATCCTGGAGCAACTAAGCAATCCAATATCTTTGAAAGTGGTTCTGCATTTATTGAGTGTTCAGAAATGTAAATCAGTTAAACTGCAGATCCTCCTAAAATAATTATTTCTTGCCATATATATGCCCTGAACTTTTAAAGAAATTATAATACCTAAGCAACAGGATAAATTTATTTAATTAACTAGTA